CTGAGAGAGCCCAGCTACGAGTGATCATCACTAGTATCCTAGTCAAATGTCTAATAGTATCAATCAAACAGTATCAACGGGACCAGACTAACAAACACTGCAGTCACAGAGCTAATGTCGCAACAACGTACCATTCCATCTCCTCCTGCTAAAATAGTTTAGAAAAAGGCTCGATAAACAATAAAACTCTGAAAGAATAAACTCTTGGGCGTTAATCAATCCCACTTGTGGGACGCACCCATGCATTCGACTTCCATTGAGAATCGTAGTGGCATTTTGAAGGCGTAAGTGGCCTATACAATGAACTGCGGTGATCAGCTGATGTACAAGTAAGTTTTTTATCCTCCAAGACGAGTCTGGTACCAGTCAGCAGACTCTGGAGTTATGGAAGACTTGGTTGGCCCAGCGGATATCGACCTGAAAATTCGGAAACGTGACCGTGCGTGTGAGGTAGTGCGCCCTTTGCCACTACACCACCCCAGTCAAGTACGTAAAGTATGATCGCTCTACCCACTAACACCAGTAGCAACAGGGACGTAACGTTCGATTTCGCAGGGGCATGGGTACATTCACTCGTGGCGACTCAAACGACTTTAGCGACAACCATTGGGGACCAAATTCGAAGTAGAGTCGGGACAGCTGACCATACTAATCTACTCTACTTCAAGTTTGCGCCCCAATGATAGGTGCCAAAGTCGTCCTAAACGCCACGAATCTTGCCGCGCCCATTCAGTTCCGGGTGAATGTTCCGTCCTCCATTTCGCAGTTACGTGACTTCACCATACTCTAATTCTGCATTTCCTCAAGCCCATGCTACTCCAATCGTTGATTGGGAGCGCTCTCTCACTTATGCGCCATCTGGCCTTTGGAGTAGAACGCATTACCACCATCTCTCTATCCGCTGTTTGATGCGAGATTCAGAAGGTTTACACCCTTCTCGCCCTAACTGGGCGAATTTCAATCGCTATTTGGGTCAGAAATCACAAAAAATTGGCATTACGCGTCCCCAATCGAGCGACCAATAAAATATCTTTCGAGGTGATCTCAAGTTTTTCTTAACTGTCTTTTTTGCAGAGTACAACAAAACAACATAAATTTATGGATAGAGCGCAACTGATCGTTTCATTCGAAAACGTCCATAATTGTTCCCGGACGGAGTCGATTAGAAGCACTTGGATCTTGATTATTTCCTCTCTTCACACCTACATTAGCTTCCTCATCGGAAGCATGAGATCCGGTATGATTACGCAGTCCATTACCGGGAAGAGGGCGTGTTTACCCCCTGGCCGTATTCTCCCCCAGAGCGTGCTCTCGTCAAGCTTCCACTAACTACTTAACTCTTCCAACTAAGTATTGCTCAGTGCTCCATTACAAAAATAAATTCGACACTGTTTCGTTCTTCCTCGTTCTTGAAATAGCAGATCTCTCGCGCTGGAAAAGATACTGCTGAAGGTAAGCGGATAATTATACAAGTCCTCCTTTCGAGTTATACATCTGCAGCTGTCG